TATATATATATATATACATTACAAAGGCTTAAGTTCTTATATTTTACATCTAATAGTGTCTTTAATACGAAATAATATTTCAAAGCACGCTTTTGATTTGAGTGATTCTTGTGAAACTCACACTTAAAAACAATATTGGGTCTTGATTTTTAGTTGAATAGGCCGTAACTGCATGTGATTACCCTGGCCCTTAATCTATCCTATAACTTCTTGTTTGTCTCGATTCCCACCAGGGTGTTTCCAGCCGAGAGACTTTATTACTACAACTGAATGATAAACTTAGGCCCCCAGATGTCACTGAACCACTAATAGAAAAGTGTAAATAAACAGAGAGATATAAAATACGTTAGACAAACACAAAGTTATTTGTTGATAAAGAAATAAAAAGTGCAGGCTTGGTCTACAGCTGTAATTGTTACTATGTGTTAATACTTTAAAACCTGAGTAAACATTTCATCAAAAGTTTTGGCCCCCAACAACACGATTTTAACACCAGCTTTATACGTGAATTCACATGTGCGTATACGTTTATTTACGATTACAGACCAGAAATACTGTATACAAGAGTGCATGAATCATTAACCCAGAAGTACGTAAAACAAATGATGCCATATACGGTGGACCACAACTGCATCCTAAAGTGACAAATTTATATATATGTCTACAAGACTGAATCCTACTAATACAGAATCATAGTTGTAACAAATGATATAGAAAACACTGTAACTGTACTGTGCACAGTTACGACAACATGATTTCAAAATATTTAATTTGATGAGTTGGTGGAAACAGATAAAGAGAATACAACCACAAATACCATATAATATGATTTCTTGTTTTTTTATAAACAATAAAGTTGTTTCAGCTCCTTGTTTGTTCTTCTTATTTTTACAAGGTTCAAGACTCTCATATAGATAATGATCCACAAATCAGTCGAAAGGAAAAAAACCTTTGTTTTTGTGTTTTTGCAATTCGAACATTTACGTTTCGAGGCTAATCAGAAAATAGCATTTTTCAGTTCAACACTTTCGGTTTCAAACGTGTTTGACCGCGATTGATAAACCACCAGTCTTTTCCGTTAATTGTTTATAAGTGTAACACTTAGGTTTCATGATTGTTGAATGGTTATTTACAAGACAAATAATACCTGCTGTTCATATGGATGTTTAATATTTTACAAGACAAATAATACCTGCTGTTCATATGGATGTTTAATATTTTACAATACAAATAATACCTGCTGTTCATATGGGTGTTTAATATTTTACAATACAAATAATACCTGCTGTTCATATGGATGTTTAATATTTTACAATACAAATAATACCTGCTGTTCATATGGATGTTTAATATTATGGAATTCAAGTTTCCCGGATTCTTGAAAGTAAAACAACCTTACAATTTATCTTGAACTATCCAGTTTTTACATTATAACTTCATTAGAGTGTGTGTGTGTATATGTGCGTATTTTTAGAACAAAGCCACGTTAGGCTATCTGCTGTCGCAGGGTATCGAACCCCCGATTTTAGTGTTGAAAGTCCGTAGACATAACCCTGTCTCACCGGGGGACCTTCATCAAAGATATGAACTGTACCTAAATCCATTCTCGTTTTTTAAAAAATATGAATTGGAATATATACACATATACATATATATGTATATGTTTTGCGTGTTTGCACACACAAATACACACACACATATATATACACACACACAGACACACATATTTTAAAAATCTGAACGGCACTTCATGCAAACGTGGACTAAGTACCAGTTCAGAGACCTATAGGGTTTAAATGTAGCTTTCCCCAATTTTTAAATACTGCTCAGAGGGAAAGCAACCAGCCAGCAGAATTCTCTTCCACAAGGACTTTTTTTTTTCGACCCTTTGAATTGTAAAACGGAATTGACGGTCTTTTTTTTTTATAACGTGCCTACAGTTTAAACTGTGGAGCATGTTCAGCAGGATCGTGTCTTGGACTTTGGACCTTCTTCATCTTTAATACGCTAATCAGTAGACTACGCCCGGACCTAACTAAACAACAACTCCTTGCAAATTTGGAACATATAGCACTGTAACTACGTGTCGGAAACTGAAAATGCACACAGCAACATGATATTGTGATTTGATTTGGTTTGGATATTTACGCAAAACTACATAAGGGCTAACTGAGCTAGTTGTGCCTAATTTTACCTGAGAGACTAGCTTGAAAAGGCAGCTAATCAACAACACCCACCGTTAAATCTTGGGCTACGATCCCAACGATCCCAAAACGCGGAACGTGATTTTGCAGTAACGGTGAGAACCACAGACTCTCGGACACACAGCCCAACACGTTAGCCATCAGACCACGCTCGGCCCGACGTCGTTGGGAAATCTATTTGTTAAAACAAAATGTATTCCATCAGTTTCCGATACCGGACACCACCTGCGTAGATATTTTTAGGTTTATTAATTGTTATTAATTCACCGAAACGTCGATTAAAAAGAAAAAAGAAATAAAGAAAGCTCTCATGGAATGTACAATACTCAATTAATAAACAGAAATGCAATGACTGTGACGCAAAAAAATATGAAAAACAAAAACTAGGGTTCAAGCTACGGAGCAAGAATGCTAGAAAGAAGCCCAGAAGGAGAAACATCTCAGAGCGTAGAATCCATTACACAGAGTGGAGATGAAGTATCTATCAGATTTAATCTTTATTCGCTAGCCCCTCACGTGAAGTAAAATAAGAATCTGAAAAGTAGGTGGATATATAGGGACGTAAACATAATGTTCCTCATCTAAAAGCTACCATTCACAACCTGCAACCTGTCGTGAGGGGGGGGGGGCATTCGTAATTAATAAACTTGTTCAAGAGATCGCTCTGTCAAACAATCTTTACACTGATTATCTGACGTATGGCGTTAATATGATCAGAAGAAAGGCATCTAGTGAATAGCATCTACCACCCACGCTAAGGACTTTACTGTCACTCTTATAACTCACCCACAGCTTAAACTGGGAGGGGCGTATTTTATGGTATTGCAAGGATTAGAGCCCAGTGCTCTACCACAGGGTCAATCCTCGTCCTAAGGTTGTAAGTGAGTGCCATTAATTCCACAGTTTGGGTACACTTACATAGCCCGATTCTTATCCATAACAGTCAGTTGGTGGAAGCCAAAGTGTTAGAAAGAAAACACAAATTATTAAATATAAGTAACTCTCTACCTATTTATCTCTCTTTAAACATTTGTACCAGCTTCTATTATTTCTTTATACAAAAGTTCTCCTGGTGGAGAGTAATTAAAATCAAATCTATAGTTAGCTGTTTCTACGCGTAAAAACAAAATCGTTTGTTATAAATTTTGCGCAAAGCTACACGAGCTCTATCTGCGCTAGCCGTCCCTAATTTAGCAGTGTAAGAATAGAGGGAAGGCAGCTAGTCACTACCACCCACCGACAACTCTTGGGCTACTCTTTTACCAACGAATAGTGGGATTGACCGTCACATTATAACGCCCCCACGGCTGAAAGGGCGAGCATGTTTAGTTTGACGGGGATTCGAACCCGCGACCTGCAGATTGCGAGTCGAGCGCCCTAACCACCCGGATATGCTGGGCCTAACAAAATCGCGATGTGAACATGTAAACACTTTTAGTTCAAACTTTTTTCTTAAAATTCGAGTGCATTTTTTTCAAGTTTACCTAAAAATTGTACATTTTTCACATTTTTTTATCAAACCATATGAGAAAGCTTTCTAGCTAAGAAGTCAAAAATTCAAAATAATTTTAAAAGTTTAATTTTGATAAATTCTAATCAGTGAAAAACGTAATTTCAAAACAGCGTTTTTTCTTGTATTTTTTAAATCGTTTTTTGTGTTTAGTGATAACATGTTTTCTTTATTATGGAAAAAAATCTACGTCAATATTTCCATGTAACTTATTAAAAATAACAAGCAAGTTAAATAATTTTGTTTGTTTATATTCCATATACAGTCATTTAAATGGTTGCATCGTTAGTTATGAAGAATATAGCAAATTTAGGGGATCTCATGTTTTATACATTTATGCATATATTATTTCTCTTGCATATTCTAGCCTGTAACCATAAATAAATGTATACACACGTGTGAGTTCACGCAGAGAGCTGGTGTTAAAATCGTGCTGTTGGGGGCCAAAACTTTTGATGAAATGTTTACTTAGATTTTAAAGTATTAACCCAGAGTAACATTTACAGCTGTAGACCAAGCCTGTACTTTTTATTTCTGTATCAACATATAACTCTCTGTTTATTTGAGCAACTTTGCACGAAATTCTGAAATAAACATAAAATATACTCAACTACACTACACGTTTTCACTAACAGAATTTTCTTTTTTAGGTTACTTATAACAGAGACCTAAAATAAATTATCTGCACTGCTTTGTTAGGAAGAATCCTAAGTCTTATTTGATTTCATTTTTAAAAATCTAACAACCATTTACCTAAAATAATACAAGCTGCAGTGGGCTGGGCGCGGGGCTTGCATGATAGACTGCGGGTCAAAAAGTCCGAAGCTCGAATCGTGATAACATTTTAAACACTCCCTCACTTTCAGCGTTCGGAACGTTATGACATACATTTGCGGCAGATTCTGTTGACTATAGTTGTCCACTCCAAATTCTGGATGGCTACGCTTGAACCCTAGGGTGCCAAACCTGACCTTTGACCATGTTTCACTTAAGGTACCGCTCAGGCTAAAAAATACCAATGAGTTGATCAAGTAACACCTAAAGCGTTACAAAGGAATTATTCAAATACGAGAGGAAATGGCTTTCATATTAGTTAACATTTTATTTTTATTTCTTGAAACAACTGAGAAATGGTTAGATTGTTATGAAAAGAAACAGAAAGTATTCGAAATTAAAAATCAAAAATAGGTGATGCACGTTTTTGTTGTGTGAAGAAAGTCTAAATTATCGGCAAAAAGGGGTTTTGGACAAATTAAAAGCTACAGTGGTAATGACTCCCACCTTACCTCGCTTTGCTTTCCTTCATTCTTCTAGCTTAATTCAACCGCTTCTTGTTCGAACGCTTTGCTTGTGTGGCTTTCGTCAACGTCCCGAACAAAGAGCGTCAAAGTACATCTCAAGCATTCTTTTTTAATCCCAGAAATACGGTTTTAGCAAATAGTGACCAACACTCATTAGATAAAGGCCAAGAGATCGTCCTGGAATTTCATTCAAGTGATAATCGATTAATCGAACTTCTGGCCTGGATTAGCATCAGGAATAAGAAATTCTGGCCTGGATTAGCATCAGGAATAAGCACCTGCAAAGATACGCCGTTTAAGCGCTAGATGAATGGGGATTGTAGGAACGGCCCTATTTTCTCAAGGAAGCAAATAGCAAGAAAAAATATATATATACGTATATGTAAAAAGTTCTCCTCCAACTCGCTGCCATTCGAAGCTTTGCCGACAAACATGATCACGCCACGAGGCTTCGCGGGGAGGTTTAGTATCATGTTTGACTCACAGTATGAAAGATAGTTAAAGCCTTTTACAGTCTTGACAGTTAATCTATCAATCTTTTGCTGTATGTGTCGTTCCTATCAAACAAACCATAAACAATTTACACATGGTTGATGGACTGTTACCCACTTTTAATTACTGTTTAAGCAACGTAAAATAGATACTAGGATAGCGTAAGATGTAATAAACAAACTTAAAAACGTTCGAAGTAAAACTCAAAAGTGTCTAATAACCAACAATTACTTTGATTTGAATTCATTCAAAACATGTTCATTTCTAGATGACGCCATTTTTGCATATCCAATTTTTCATGTTTTCATGATTAATTATTTAACCCTAACTGTTTATCTAATTTGGTTATTATATCCCAGTAAGTATCTTCAAGTTTCTTTATAGCACAAAATGTTCCTAATTACAAAACGTATGTGTATATCCTATCATATTTGTCGGTGTTAACAGTTTCGAGCGCTTGGTGTCAGTTATAAATGTTAATATATAAACCTGGTTTTATAGGTTCCCTTCCTTGGAGTCAGAAAATATTTGTGACACCTTTCGGATGCGGTGTAAATAATAATAACAATGTTGGTTATTGTAAAGGCTGCATGAAACTTGTTTGCAATATGACTTCTTCTTCTGACCATATCTAAGCCTAGAGCTGTGGTATTATTCTATTTCTGGCTACGTAAGATAATCTGGTTACCAGAACTGCGATGTTGTTTCTTTTACATAGATATATAGTTGTATGGAAGTAAACATCCCGAAAAAGGAACAGTATGTAATTCATCTTGAAAAAATAAGAAAAACCGCTGACGACAAAGTTTTAATGAAACTATGTTTCTTGTTTTGTTCATGCACACACATATACACACCTATATTTAACCACATTTTCACATCCTTTTAGTTATGCTCCAGCACATGACTGGAACTAGAGCGTTAGAAGGCTGACTCCACCACTGTCGATAGCTACAGGTTTTACATGGTTTAAAACCTCGTATAAGCAACTAATCATTGATCAACTTACATGCTGAGTATTTCACAACACATTTGCCCCAATTTGTAAAATATATCGCTGATATTCAATTATTTATGTCAACGTTGGAATATCTTCGCCTTGATATTATTATTACTAATTCCACTTTCACTGACTGTGGACTATAATTTTATGGACTGATTCATATCAAAGCTTCACCAGGCTGATGCCTGAAGCTTTTTAGGAAAACTAAACAAAGTGGCAGGAAAAATTCATAAAAAAATGTAGTCCACATATCGAACATAGCACTCGGTACATTGTGCTTAATAAATTATATAATTCAGTATATAACTACTTTTCATGTTATGAAACCGATACGTCTTACAAAATGACATCTTATGAAACTACTAAAACTATTTGTCTACATTACATTAATGAACGTCCTCTCTGTTAGTTTTTGTAGTGCAAGATTAGCTTCGTTATTGTTTTAGCGACTTCTAAAACTATATGACTATAGTACATTGATGAACGTCCTCTCTGTTAGTTTTTGTAGTGCAAGATTAGCTTCGTTATTGTTTTAGCGACTTCTAAAACTATATATGTCTACAGTACATTGATGAATGTACTCTCTGTTAGTTTTTGTAGTGCAAGATTAGCTTCGTTATTGTTTTAGCGACTTCTAAAACTATATATGTCTACAGTACATTGATGAACGTCCTCTCTGTTAGTTTTTGTAGTGCAAGATTAGCTTCATTACTTTTTTTAGCGACACATTTATATTCTCTACTTATGTTAGGAAGTCAGCGATAGTTAGTCTCTTCTGAACACGTGCAATGTTTTCCTCCTCGCGTCTACACGATTAATATTTGATACTGATGTTTATGTGAAATAAATTCTGAAATGTAAAAACGAGAATAGTGTGTCTTTTACTTGTAAATATATATATCTTTATTTATCCAGTTGAAACCATTTGATAGGTGCTTATCACATCCACTTATGTGTCATAGATGATTAGTGTAGAGATATCTGTGTGATCTAACAGAAATGAATAATAAAAAGTCAATATGGAGAGGTGTAATTTCTTCGTACGTCCTTGGAGACCGTACTCTAAGAGTATACAAAACCACGGATATGTGGATGAGTTTGTTACATTAGGCAAGTACATTTATGGCGTCTGTATAATCAGATATGCCTATTAAGTGTGTGATAACACGGTTTTTCTGTTTGTTTAACTGCAGCTTTCCTTATAAATATTGTTAATACTCATTCGGGAATTCTCTGAAGTCGCATTCTAGAAGACGTTATCAGCATTCAAATGATGTTCACTATTCTGTAAAATCTAGCATTTATTGCAGTTCGAAGAAAAAATCGACTTATAACATTTATTTTTAAACTCTTTTTTTTATATTCTTTATTAGTACTAGTACATGCTATAACATAATGCTATATAAACTCACTTCGCTGTATTAAAACAACAAAACCTTTAAAAAGCTTTCAAAAAACTCCGTATTGTTTTAGAAATGACCAAAATGTATCTTCTTGTGTCGTATATTCTCGATCCCATTAGTTTATCGTTAAGAATTCTTAGGCCCGGCATGGCCAGATGGTTAAGGTGCTCGACTCGCAATCTGAGGGCCGCGGGTTCGAATCCTCGTCACACCAAAC